GAGAGGTTGGTGCTGGTCTCTTCTCACAGGTAATTAATGACAGAACAAGAGGGAATGGCTTCAAGCTCCAACAGGGTAGATTTAGACTGAAGATTAGGAAAGAATTTTTCACAGAAAGAGTGGTCGGGCATTGGAACAGGCTGCCCAGGGAGGTGGTTGAGTCACCATCCCTGGATGTGCTTAAGAGCCGTTTAGATGTGGTGTTGGGGGATGCGGTGTAGGGGAGAAATTGGAGAGTAGGGTAGATGGTTGGACTCCATGATCCCAAGGGTCTCTTCCAACCTAGACAATTCTATGATTCTATGATTCAAAAGACTAGTTTTGGAATGTCTTGCATCAGATTGTATATAACTGTGGATTGCTTTAATTTACTTCTAATTGAACAAGAAGTAAATATTTGAAATTATTCTGTAGAGCCACTGATTATAAAGAAGACCTGTAGTTTGGCTTTTGTCCTTTTTAAACCACCCATTCTGATTTCCCTGAAGAGTTAAAAGGTAGCTTGATTTGTAAAAGACTAAAAAACAATTGTCAAAAAATGTTTTTGTTCTGCGACTAAAGCTTTTCTGTCCATGTTAGTAAAAACAAGTTTTTACTAAATTGTATCCTGTAGGGTCTAAAACAAAGTCGAATGGAAGCAGCCCTGGAGAGAGAAATGCATGGAAAATAACTGAATATTCACCACTGTTTTGAAGGATTGTAAGTATCGTAATTTTGTGCTAAATGAAAATACAGTGTTGGTTGACAAAATTAGTTTGAAACTACAGTTCATTTTACAAGCTCTCAACAAATTTTGAATTCCGTGCAAGAACTATGATCTTCAGGACTTCCATCCACTCTTATGGCTCTCTACAAATACCACTTCTACCAGTATTAATCCCTTTTTTGCTTAGCAACCGTGGAATGGTATTTTCTTGGCTAGAATGAAGGGAAGTATTTTATTGCTCTGATGAGAGCTTTAACTATAGCATTTCTGTACACCAGGATTAACAGGGCAGGTTACTTTAATTGTTAAGATTTACCTTATTTGTTTATGAGCCATTTTGAAAATAAAAGGTTGTTAAATGAAATGCAGTTTTTGCATCTCTGTACACATCTTCATAAGCAACTGCTTCTTTATACAGATGGGATACCAGGAAGTGTAGCTAAACTTTGTTTTCAGGACAAGATCAACATTTCAGTTTGTTGTCGAGCAATTCTATTCTCATTACTTCAATGCCTGTGCTTTTATTTGAAATCCTTTGTTTAAAATTCTCCAGTATATTGTTCAGTTCCTTATAGAACAAAACTATGTGCTCATGGGGACTTGTTTTTCTGATTTTCTGTGACAACATGTAATTTCTGTGCATTTGAGTAATTCTTGTTTGTTTGATTAAAACCAAAAAGCTCTTGTATACTAATTTTTGATTCTTTTTTAAAGCCACGTGCAAATCTTTTCCAATGAGAGGTGTACATCACTTACACACCGATGGTTGGTGGTGAAGATGAGAATTTAATGAAGGCAATTAATCTCAACGTTTTTCTTGACACTGAGCTGCCCCTGGTAACAAGCAAACAAATAACTTGAGACAAGGAATTATATGTGCATTGCCATGAGCTGTTTCTTAAAGACGTCTAGTGAAACGTGTTTAGAAAGCACTGCAGCAATAAACTATTTTTTTACTTCCCTGAAACAACTTCAAGTCTTTCTACCAAATGATAGATGTAAGTCCTTTAACCCCACATGATAGATTTCATGTATCTCTCATTTTAACACCTCTTGTATTCCTCAAGACATTTTATCTGAATGTCAACACCAGAACTAGCATTTAGAGTATGTTCTTTTTTGGAGACAGCTATGGCAGCAGTCTGTTACAGTGGCCACGGCCTGGAAGATGGTATACCATCATATTAAAAGAGATCTTATGGGTCTGATTGGAATCCTGAATATGACAGCTGGATTCAGAAAGGCTCATTTTTGGTTTCAAATGCTTGTTAATAAAGTTCTACTTTGCAAACTTTGAATTTAGGGATGTGGTTTGTTTTGGGTTGGTTTTTATTTTTAGCTTGTGAAGACCTCTGTCTGGTGGATGAATGGTTGAAATATAGCAGAAAATTTTGCTGTGTGGCCTTTTTCTGAGAGCCACTACTAAAAGCAAATTAGAAAAAGCAGACTGTGGAAAGGTAATGGTAAGTATGGACTTAGATTTCAGCCCTTAAAATCTTAAGTCTTGTAGAAGGGAGGCTGCAGCCTCTCTTCTACTAGACTAATTTAGTTAATGCCGGTGGTTTTCTTTTCAGGGAAACTAGCCAAATACAGGCCTGAACTTTGCTGCATTTAAGTTCCTTTTCCTACTGTGGTCGAGTGTCAGAAAATCAGTTTTTAGTTGAGCAAAAAGAGGAAGATGTGATCTTCACTTCCCTAAGCCACTTTGAAAGCTTTTTCTAGTAAATGGAGATTGGTTGTGTGATGCAAAGCTTCCAAATCAGCTGCTCAGCAGCTGTTCATTGCTAAAGAGGCACGACTGCTCTCTGCCTCAGCTAGTCCTGTGTTAGTATTTGGCATTACATTACAAAAAGTGGCTTTTACTGCTTTTTAATGCTAGTAGAATCTGACATCCAGTATTATTTTTAGTGCATTCCTGACCATAAAGGGTTTTATGATTTTTATTTCATGATTCACGTAATTGATTTGCTTGCAATGAACACAACTGAATAGAAATCATTTATTTTAAGTAGTCTTTAAGCAAAATTTTACATTTTTCTTTGGAAGATACCACTTGGGTACAATCGATAACCATATTTGTAAAGCAAGTTGGGTTTTTAGAGTTACATTATGCTGTTACCTATTCCTTGATGTGTTCACATTAACCTAACTCTGCTGTAGAAGAGTGGCATGTTTCATCATGGTAGCAATTTTACAATTTATGTTTATTTGCAATGCAGGTGTGTAGTTCATAATACAAAAAGGAAGAGAAAAAAAAACCCAAACCCTAACACTTTCAAACTTTTCTAGTCTTGAAAAATTGGTGAAAGTGGCAAGACCCATTGCCAAGATAATTTTAAGCTCCTAGACTGGGGATGCTGCTCCTTCATGATCTCAAACATTTTAAGATCCTCTGCATCAAGGAGCCAGCCCATCATCACTATTGTCACAAGACCAGGCAGTCGAGAAACACACTGGACAAAAGCTGTCACTGTTGGTGCACTGGCTTTGATCTGATGTGTGAACATACGGCTAATGTCCAGCTCTTTTAAAGCAGGCATGTTATTAAGTGTTCTGAAGAAGTTTCTCCAACCAGTTTCAGTAATGTCATGATTTACTGACAGTGAGAGCTGTTCAAGCTTCTGGAAACCTCCACAATTCGCAACCTTTGCTGCAAAAAAACGCCAAGACATCTGTAAGGATATAAAGATGCTCCAAACACGTATGAAACATGAATGAAAATACAATGAAGCTGAGGTATTGTACATTAAAGATAAAACAAAGTCGTTGCTATTAGGTTGAAAAAAGTAGAACTTTGAACTCAATTCATTTAAGCACCAGGAGACTGATAAAATAGAGGATACTTTAGCAGGCACGTTAATGCCTGGTAGAATACGATAGGAGTGTGTTTACGAGTGTTCGAATACCACTCTTACAGAGCAAAGCAAATACAACACCAGTTTATGCAACCGCTTGAGGTCAGACACCAGGCCAGCTTTGCTCAGATGCACAACACTGAGTAACAATCGTCTCTTGCATGCCCGTGTACCTTCACATACGGTCTTCGGTCTGGCCTTATGGTCAGCCTACTTAAAAGATGGGACTCTTGTTATCAAGTCGCTATATATACTAAAATGTATGTCAAAAATAAACGAAGATGATACGGCAGACATAGCACTTGCTTACCAAATAAGACATTTTCTTTAGCCTATATATGAAATGGTAATTATAACACTATACTAAATACATATTAAATTCAAGAAATTTTAGTAATAAAATTTAACAGCGATGGCATATAAGCTAATAAAACTAGCAATGAAGTTATGAAGCTGTATGTTAAGTTAGTCTTTTTTCCCACCGATTATTTTTCTTGTAATTTACATTGCTGTGTAGAAGACAAGGGGAACTAAGGAGGTATTTCAAAAGAGGTTTCAGCAAAGTCTAGTATATAAGCAATCTGAATACACTTTGATGAGCATGAAATATTTTGGGCTGTGTATAGAACAAACAGGACAAAATTATACCTATTAAAAATGACAAATAATTTGCAATTGTTGCAATGTATAGGAACAGAAAATGAGTTTATCCTGAAGCAGTATATTCTCTACTGAGAAATAGTATTTCATGTTTGAAGTTCTCTCCTTTAAACTCACCTATTTCCAACAGCCTGTCATCATCCAGACATAGGGTAAGTGAGAAGCATCTGAGGTGCAGCAGGTGTAGACACTGCTGAACAATCAGTTTGGCTGCAGACCTTATTCCCTTCCCTGCAGGAAGGATGAGCTCCTCCAGGTTAAGAAGAACACCTAAATTGTATGCTGCAGAGAGAACACGACATTTCCCGTTAAGATTAAACAAGTATAAATATTGTAATGCCAATGAGTGACAGCAGCAGAGCCCAGTTAAAAAACATTTAAATTTAGATTCTGGGCAAGAGGTTACTACCAGCTTTCTTTCCTCAGGTTCAGCCCTGCCATTGTTGTGAAGGTCACTTCACACTGTAACACAATAGCTTGAAAAGGTCATCAAGAGAAAAGGCAGAACTACTCCAGAAAGGATCTAAGAGGTCTCATGAATCCTGTAGAGATAAAAGGAATCTTCCATGTTGCCAAACTTAAGGGACCCACAGGAAAGAAAAATAAATTAGGGTAATGCTCCCTTCCCAAAATGCAATCCTTTTCAACTTTTCCCTGTCCCCTGTAGACATGGCTTTTGCAGGAGGACCATCTTGGCTTTCAGAGGTGCTGGACTCCTCTGATTCCATAGTTTAGGACAGCCATCCATCTCACTCAGCTCATCCCCCTTAGAAGGACGTGAACACACGCCCTTCATCACAAACTGCTTTGTGAGACCTGACTTGACATTTTATTTCTAGATACTCTCTCGTATCTCAGATGGCATTTAAGCTGTTCAAGTTATTTCTTAAGATCTCCAAAAGAACCCGAAACAAAACAATTCTGTCAAATGCAAAAAATGAGATCAGCCAAAAGGAAAGATATGTACAAACCAAAGATTTCACAAGCTTCCTTGTCATCAAAATATTGCCCTTTAAGATTCAACAGTTTCAGAGAGACAAAATTGGGCAGAGCAGCAGCTAGAAAGAAAGGAAAAAAGTATACATTGTCATTCCTGGAACTTAAAATTAGCAGTTTCTCTCATCTATTAAGTTTTTAAAAGTGAGTTTTCTGTATTAAAAAAAAAAAAAATCCTACCTAAAGAAAGCAGATCTCCATCTCCCAAAAATGACCCAGTTAGCTTGATTTCTGTTAACTTCTTGCATGAAGAAATTGCTGCCAGTAGGGATCCAGAATCGAAGTAGCTGGAGCAGTCCAGGTGAAAAACAGAGAGGTCTTGGAAGCTCTTAATAAATTCAACTACGAAATAAAGTGTTGCAACACTGGAGATTCATTGTATAGTGAATAAGGTCAAAAATCAAGAAGGTTCTCCTAGTTCCACCTGTGAACTTTACTATAGAGGGAAGCATCTTCTACCACAACGAAAGCAAGGGAGACAGATAAGAAGATGAATGGGAGCAGCAGCTAGATTCCTCTGTTTACATCTTAAAATCAGATGGCCTGTGTTCTGTTTTGTAAGTAGAATCATGATAGATCTTTCTGGCCTTAAAATGAAAGCAAGTTTTGCTGTAGATTAATTTCTGGTTTCTTTCACGTGTGAAAAATACTCTAATTTTCCATTTAGCAGGACTGAAACTTTCTGAACATCTTCCCCCTAAAGTTATTAGTTTTAGATACATTGTAAAACTGTATCCAACACCCATATATTGAGGGTACAGTTCAGTGAATGTTGTTGGTTTGTACTGTATGAGCTGGGTAATCGTTACCATAGTGTACAAAACATTGTTTTTCTAGGAGCCTTGGACTGGAAAGTAAGCTTCTTTGTGGAATAAAGCAGTTAAAATAGAAGTCACAACCTGGTTATAGACCTGTCGGAGCTGCTATGCACATGAGCTGTGCTCAGCTGCCAGTTGTGCTCCCTCTCTTCTTCTTCTTCCCAGTGGACTGGGAGTGGTGAGAAGGGAAAATAATCACTCCAGGAAAACAAAGAGCGCAGTCCTACTCATTCCTCCATAACAAGTTATGGAGGTCAGTAAAGTTACAGCACTAAAACTCAGCTCCTCTTTTTTGTTGGGGTGGCAAACTCAAGGTAGAAGCTGTAGGGCAGAAGCAGTGGGAAGATGACTCAGAAATCCTACACACCTGTTAAAAGAGAAATTAAAACTGCTACTCAGTACTAACAAGTTCTAGCAGAATACAGTACCTAAAGTTTTAAAGTGCACCTTACCCAGCCTAGAGCTGTTTTCAAGCTTCATTCTTCTTATCGACAATTTCTTCATGTTACAGAGATTTTTGAAGCCATCGGGTATTGTATCAAATACATTGCTGTTCTCACATTGACTCACTGACAGTTCCTCAAGGCGGATGAATTTGTCCAAATTTGAAAAAAGTAGTTCTGTGATGAAGCCAGACAAACATACAATGAAACTGCTTAAACCCTCTGTTCTTCTGACAATTTGCCAAGGTTTTTGTAGCTGAAGTTCACTGTCTCACATCCTAACATCTTTGGCTTCCCTTCTCTTGACTGCTGCTTTCTATCCTCCTTGTACCACTGCCCTTCCATGCAAACCCATCCTTCGCCAAGGCTTCTGCTGCTTGCAGCCTGGGTGTACACCTGGCAGCATCCCATAAACGCTCCTGCACTGCCCAATAGTCTTTTATTTTGAAACCCCAGTGCAGATCCACTCAGATTGCCCCAAGCAGAAAATGCATATCCATCAGTGCCTGGTAGCGTGTCCTCCATGCTGCACTATCTTCTGCCGAAGTGCAGTTTTGCCTTTGTAGTGACATACACCTCTTAGATCAAAAACCAGTATTGAGGTCATAGTCTGAAATTAGAGGCCAGGATGGAAATCTGTTAGTGCAGAACGGCTGCCTATCCCCCAAAATGCAGACTCAGTGGGTCCACAGGAGTGCCACAAAAATGACCAGAGGGCTGGAGCATCTGTCCTATGAGGAGAGGCTGAGAGAGTTGGGGCTGTTCAGCCTGGAGAAGAGAAGGCTCCAAGGAGACCTCACTGTGGCCTTCCAGTACTTAAAGGGGGCCTACAGGAGAGCTGGAGAGGGACTTTTTACGAGGACATGTGGTGATAGGATGAGGGGGAATGGCTTTAAACTGGAAGAGGGCAGGTTTAGATTAAACATTAGGAAGAAATTTTTCACTCTGAGGGTGGTAAGGCAGTTGAACAGGCTGCCCAGAGAAGCTGTGAATGCCCCATCCCTGGAGGTGTTTAAGGCCAGGCTGGATGGGGCTTTGAGCAACCGGGTCTAGTGGGAGGTGTCCCTGCCCATGGCAGGGGGGTTGGAACTCGATGATCTTCAAGGTCCCTTCCAACCTAAACCATTCTATGATTCTACGATTATTCATGGATTTGGAGCTGCTCAGTTGTCAGGCACCAAGGGGAGAGGACGAAAAATGGAACTAGGGTGAAAAATTACATTCTGCCAAAACTTAGTATGACGTACCTGGCATTTCTTTTTCGGCTATCTCAAGACATTCCACAAAAGGCATCAAGAGAAGTAATTCTTGCTCTGATATGCTCAAGTTAAGATGATGTAGACTACATTTTTTAAAGTGTTCCTTGTACTGTTCAATAGCAGGTCGGATAACTTCTATAAAACCAGGACTGTTATTCAGCTGAAGTTCAATATAATCCGCAACGGAAAACAGCGTCATCAAATTTCTGAGGTCAGCTTCCTGAAAGGAACTGATGTTTCTGAATGTACATTTTAAAAGTGGCATCTTCCCTGTTGTATGTAGGAAAGGACACACAATGGAGTCTGGTAGATGTCTTTGTATTAGTGAAATGAATCTATGGTTTTCTTCTTCTTCTTTTTTAATTTTTTGTGCCATGTCCTTAAAAAGTGTAAACGCAGGAGCATAATCCCGGTCAATTGTTGGCATCTCCAGTGAAGAATAGCAAGCAGCTATTTCAGATACATTAAATTCTTGTTTGTGCTCACTTCCTTGTACTTCAACCTGAAAACTGCTGGGTAGAGAGAGCGATTCTGGGTAATCCTGGAAAAAACGCAGCTTAGATTTTGGTGCTGATAAAAATGAACTTAATGAAATATCTTTGCCTCTTAGGAACTGAAAAATGATTGGGGCACACACAGAGACAGTATTACTCTCATAAGCTACAGAAGTAGCAAAGTTCAGTAAATGCTGAATGAAAACTGGAAGAAGCAGTTTTGGATCAATAAAACTTAACTGGTCAATAAACAAAATTTTTATTGGAAGGTCTGAATGGTGCTGCAGATGTTCATCATTTTCTGACTGGCTTTCCAATGACTCCTTGCAGTCAATCAATTTAAATAAATAGGATATAATTTGGGGCACTGCTTTGGAAGAGAACCTGCAAGCATAATCCAATAAAAAACTATAGCGGCCAGCAACTTTTCTAAATGTGTTGATTTGCTGCAAGTACTGCATCCCTTGCTCCAGTTTTTCCTTTTAATCAGAAACCAGGAGCTCACTCAGTCTTCTTCCTGCAAGAAACTCCTGGAACAAGGGGTGAAAGAATTTATAAACTGGATGAAGCCTTTGGGCAGTAAATTTGCTTAGCAAACCCAGCCTAACAGCTTCATCTCCATCAACTTCTGCTTCAGACAGATCATACTCAGTGAAATCAAAGGATGGCTTGAAAAGACCAGTTAAGGCAAGCTCACCACATGAGGAAAACACAGCCAGTACATGTTCTCTTTCTTCACTGTATTTTAGTAAGTGATAGAGCAGATAGGCTTTAAAAATAACCTCATTGCTGATTATGTTGCCCCTTGGGTGCTGTACCCAATATGCAGCAAGAGACACCATAAAAAGCGGTGTCTTTAGAATGGTCTTCATAGACTTTTCAAGCTCCAGCTGAATGAGAAGCTTCTCCACAAGGTCAATATTGTAGGAGAACAGTTTCCTTAGTACATACAGAGTGCTGGACAGAGGGAACTCTGCAACGCTTAAAGTGGTGGTTGCATACTTGCGAATTTCTCTCATCCTGTTAGTACGGACAGCAACAACCAAACAATGCTGGTAAAGATGGTTCCTTTGTATAAGTTCTTCTACAGTTTGGGGCACTGAATTCACCTCACTATAGTCATCCAAAAGAAATAAGACCTGGTTTTTCAGTGGCTGAATTATGTCTCTTAGAGTTGTTTCTGTCAATGGTCCCACAAATCCTACTGGCTGATTGCATATAATATCAGCCATGCTCTGATCTGATTTTGCATGAGTCAGGGAGAGATAAAATACAAACTTAAACCTGCTCAGAATGGGGCAGCAGCCTGACGCCCAAAGAAGAGCTATTTTCCTGAGCAATGCTGTTTTTCCACTTCCTGCTTCACCTTCCAACACAATGGTAGAGCTAAGGTTCGCAAGGATTTCATGAAGAAAGAGCTGCTGTATTGGCTGATCTTTAATATCCTTTGAGACAACTGATGGGTCCCCATAGAGTAATTTCAAGTCAATAGCCAAATGGTTTGAGTTCCCAAAGGAAAACAATTTGCTGAAGTTGTTACGATTGTAAGCCTTCGTAAGTTGTTCGGTCAAGTTCTTCGCTTCTTGAACACACTGACTTTCAACAGGTGTCACGTCTGCAAAAAGGATGACATTAAATAATAAAACCTAGTGAATAGCTGATTCTGTACACAGAAGTCAAATATAGTCAGCTGTCCATTAAATTGGAGTAATAAGAACCTGAGATTGTCTAGATACTGGAAAAAATGGGTATCACTTCTGGATAAACCAAGTTCCCACACTTTCTCTTTGTCCTACTCAGTTGTCTTTGCACCCATCTGGTTTCACGCAGGGTTAGTTTGTGTGTAGCAAGTAATCAAGTGAAAAACTTGAGCTAAAAAGCTTTGCTGGAAGTGGCCTAGCTCTGTGCAGAGACTTGCTGGTATCTCAGTGCAGTGGTCCAGCTTTCCATGGTCTGGAAAGAATAATTAGCATAGATTCAGCACTGTGTCAATAAACAACCGAATTGCCAGACTTGCAAGCAGGCTCAGAAAGTGGCAAAGACACATTCATATGGTACCATGCGGATAAAGGAGTGTTAAATTTGACCTAAACATCCTTTATGGAGGCGTATTATCTTCCTACAGAGCCACAGAATCTCTGCCCCACACTCTCTAAAGCTGTTGCTCTGCCAGGGTTTCTAAGTTCTGGTACAAAGCATCGATTCTCTATAGAACCAGCTATGTTTTCTGTGCCCATAGTACAGTTTATCCACAAAGTAGATAATCCACCCCAAAATAAACATGTGGGGGCTGTACTTAGGTATTTCTGAACAGCTGAAATAAGGTAAATGTACTTTTACATCGATGTAATTATAGAGGTACACAGTATATGTGTTGCCAAAAACCCCACGGTAATCTTATCTCAGATGATGCAGTACCGTTTTATTCTTTGCATGTTCAGCAAAAGTACAATGAAGCCCAGAAGCGCTCACTGGCTCTTCCTGCACTTCACTAAGAGATGACACCAGAGACCTCCTGTTCTGAAGCATTTCAGACAGGACAGGGTATATTTATGCCATAGCCTGGGGAACTAGGACTTCCCACCAGAAACAGCCCCAGCCACTTCTGGTAAAAAGGAGATGTACATGTTGCTGAATACAAAGAATGAACAAACATCTTCATTAATAAACTAGCAATTACGACTTTTATTGTTCCCTTGACCGTTTCAGTACCATGAGTTTTAAAACTATTATTATGCTTCCAGAGCTCTAAAATCTGCTGGTAGTGCCTTCAAAAGTTACAAAATGGCTCCACCTGATACGTATATTCCAAATAATTTTGGCATTTCTGGGAGGCAGTAATAGCCATTTTTGGATTACCACAAAGAAATGCTTGCTGAAGAAAGCATCTGGGCAGTATCACTATAGCAAATTTACTTTTGAGTTATCAACTCTGTGCTTGCACAGCTTGAACAATCAGTGCTGTTCTGCAGCAAACTCGTCGTGTATGAACTCTTCCCTCAGAAGTCCACTCACATGCATTGACAAAACCACTCCCTTGAAATGGAGGTAGTATTTGGAAAAAGGAAGCATCAGAAGCAAAAGATAGTGGAAGGTTATCTCAACTAGTTTCTTTTTTGTCTAGAAGCATTTACATATAACATGCAGTATGCAGCTGGTATACATTGACCTGCTGTGGCCAGCAGGTCACGGGAGGTGTTTCTGCCCCTTTACTCCACTCTGGTGAGACCCCACCTGGAGTACTGCATCCAGCTCTGGAGCCCCCAACATAAGGAGGACATGGACCTGCTGGAGCGTGTCCAGAGGAGAGCCACGAGGATGATCCGAGGGCTGGAGCACCTCTCCTATGAGGAGAGGCTGAGAGAGTTGGGGCTGCTCAGCCTGGAGAAGAGAAGGCTCCGGGGAGATCTTATTGCGGCCTCCCAGTACCTAAAGAGGGCCTACAGGAGAGCTGGGGAAGGACTTTTTACAAGGGCATGTAGTGATAGGACGAGGGGGAATGGCTTTAAACTGGAAGAGGGCAGGTTTAGATTAAACATTAGGAAGCGGGTGGTAAGGCACTGGATCAGGTTGCCCAGAGAAGCTGTGGATGCCCCATCCCTGGAGGTGTTCAAGGCCAGGTTGGACATGGCCTTGGGCAACCTGGTCCAGTGGGAGGCGTCCCTGTCTATGGCAGGGGGGGTGGAACTAGATGATCGTCGAGGGCCTTTCCAACCTAAACCATTCTATGATTCTATGATTTGCAATTTTCCAAAACATGAGTGAAAGAAAAGTCATACCACATCACCACAAAATTATTTAGTTTGATTATATGCCTCATCTGCACAGAAGTACCTTTTGCTTGCTAAGGGATTTGTTTATATTCACAGACTACAAAAGCAAGCAGTAGCTGACAGATTCTCTATTTGTTGTTGCTATATATGGACAATCCATAAATCCTAACAGTCCTTTCTTCAATGACAATTTTGCCTTTACTGAGTAAGGGCCAAATCCAGAAAACTTTTAACAACCCTCTCAAACTAAAATGTAAATTCAACACCAGCATCCCTTCAGGGGAGGCTGCACAGTACTTACCAGCTCCTACAGTATGTGGGGTTGCTGTCTCTTCAAGATTTACTTTACAGGGAGTTTGCTAGAACAAAAATAAATCCAGTTATACTACCTTAAATTTTATTATTTAGTTCAAACCGAGTTGTTTTGGTACCAGCAAGCACCAGCAGCTACAAGGGCAATTTAAAACACATACAGTACTAGCTCTGTGCTTTTCAACACTAGCAAAATTCTTTACCCCTCCCAGAAGCAGGACCTCAGACCTAACGCCCCTCTATCTTTATATCTCTCTCTCTCTCTTCCCCATAAGCTTCTTCCACCCCAGGGTTTTGCTGCCCACCTACCAAGGATGCAAGGCCAAGCTCTGGTATGACACGGATGCATCACCTTGACGCAGAGCATCAAGAGAAAGCCGTGAGACAGCCTGCAGAGATGCTGGGAGGGTACTGCTACGGGCAGAGGGAGAGGGGTGAGACAGGGTGGCTGATGGAGGGAGGGCTCTGCCACGTGCCAGCCAGCCCAGGAGTGAGCTCTCGCTAGCCTAAGCGGGGTGGTGGGCACGTTAACGCTCATCCTCAGAGCTCGTAACATCCCATCTATCTTCAGCACAACTCAGCGAATAAATAATCACTTTGTACTTCTCAGCTGTGTACATCCTCAGCACGCCCAGACAAACCGACCCGAGAGAGGAGCGGTGCGGCCTCCCACAGTAACACATCCCACACAAAACCTCCCCAGAGAGCTTCCCGCAGTCCCACAAACTGGGACAGCTTCCCCCGTCCCACCAGCCTCTCTGCAGTGGCCCCTCGACAGCCCGGCACCATGGGATGGGAGACTTCGCTGCCCACAGAGCCGCACAGCAGGGTGATTGCTGCTAATTACTGAAAAGCTGATTGCCAGTAGCTGCCCTCCAGAGGCGCTTTTCTCCACAACTCAGGTCCAGGCCGGCAGGCCCACAAACACTGTTTGGGGATACCCACCTGTCCTGGTTTGAGTAACACAGGACTAATTTATCTTTCAGTAATTTTACTTTTCAGTAAAGTCTCTTCTAATGCTTGGGAAAATTGCACTATTAGAAGTCTCTAGTGTCTGAATTTGTGAAAATATTTACTTTGTAGCCAGCTATGGTGTGTGGGGTTCAGGGTCTCAGTGTTTTCGAGCTCGCCAGCTGCAGCGATGAGGACGAGTGAGACCTGGGCACTTGACCCAAGCTGGCCAAGAGGATTATTTCATACCATGAGTGTCACATTCACTATAAATTAGAATGTTTGCTGAGGAGTCTTCCTCTTCTATGATGGCTGTGATCCTGAGAACTTCTTGCCCCTGTGTCGGACCTCTGAGCCCTTCCCTTCCTCCCAAAGCCATAGCACTCGCAGTGTCCCACATTTGCTGTCCACTGCTGAGAGTGCACAGCTTCCTATGGATAGAATGGGCTCAGTATAATCCTTGTGTATTTTATATTGGTATTGGCATCAATATTGGTTCTTTAGTGCTATAATGTTAATTATCTAATATTACTCTGTTTATCAAATATTAAATCTGTCTACACTTCAAGTCCCAGGTTTCCTTGTTTTTCCCAGTTCCCTTTCCTGGATGGGGAGGGGTCATCAGGTGAGAGGATAATTGTCTAAACGACAGTAAATTGTTGTGTGTTCCTCAAACCATAACAGTGTCACATACCCCCTGCCCGCTCAGTGACCGCTGAAACGCAGTCTGTTGAAAAGGCTGTCCGGGATGAAGACTGCAATAAGCTGCTCATTCTGCACATGCACGCGTGCCGAGGCTCCCTGCAACTGGAACCATCACTTAAAATTGCAAAGCACGAATATTGCTTCACTAACAGCAAATACTGCAGACTAGCACAAACCTGTGTGGGCTGTAATGTCGACGGGCTCTCTGGTTGCTCTTCCAGTGACTTTCCAAGTAATTCCAAGCAGTTGGAACTAGAATTAAGTTTTCAAAAGACACAGCAGTCAGTGCAAAGCATTACTTCACTTGCTTACGTTTGGCAGAAAGGTGACACTATTTCACAAACATTCCCTTTGTTTGGAAATTTTTTACATTTTTTTCTACAATTAAACATTAATTAAGAAAAGGGTTTTCATAGAGGCACAATGTCCCACACACTCAAGAAACATATAGTTATTTATATACATTTAAAGTAGCATTAAAAAAACAACAGCAAAAGTGCATGGCAACTTCCATCGCACAGCAGGAAATTGTCTTAAGATACTCTGTCACTCACTCAGGGAACCATTTTGCATGTTGTTCCATAGGATCATCACCTTCTTCACATTCCTGTAAGCAACGTGCACAGTTGAAGCACTGTACCTTATCACCTTCTCCTGCAAGCAAGAAATTATGCACCTCAAAAATGGTTGTGGACATGATTTCTTTCCTTACTAACATGTCAGCATAAAAACTGCCACAGTTTCATGAGTTTACCTCAGTGACCTCTGTCTGCTACTAGAATTCCATGCTTTTTAAATCATGAATAATAAAAATTAAATCAAGGAAAAGAAAAAGCCACAGAACTGGGAGATGTGCCATTATTGTCCTTTTAGTGACACCAGACAAATGAATACCACAAGTGCCCAGACACATGCTTTCTCCTTTCTAAAAACATACCCTCCTTGCAACTCTTTGCTCTGGCTTTCCCCTCAGACAGGGTCATTCCATTCCCTCACTCTGGCTTTTGCAAAAGCCATTCTGATTTTGCAGCTGCATTACTCTCCTTACTGAGAGCTATAGCAAGATTTTAATTAGGTAGCAGGACTATCTTGAAGCTCTATCCCACCTGCATTGGAAACTAAACCTTTTACTTGTCCTGTGTTTGTATAGCTAACAAACTTGGTTCAAACCTGTATAGAAAAACCCGGCTTTAGCAAGAGCGGTGGCTTCAACACGGGCTTCTGCTGGCCAAGTTTTAAAAGAGTCCAGTCGAACTCCTTCGTCCTCAAAGATGTTCAAGACAAGATCACCTTTGCAACCAAAGATATTTGGTTAGTCAGGAAAACTTTAGCCTGTCATCAGGCTCTCCAAAGCAGGAACAGAACTAGATTGCAAATATCTCAGGTTTACAGCAAAGCAAAAACACAACTACAGAACTTTATTTTTTAGACAATTATAAATGTATAGTCTTGATTTACAGTACAGATAAAAATCTATGGTTTTCCTTCAAAGCCATCAGGTTTCATTTAGTTTGCATCTCCCTCCTACAGGCAAATGCAAATGAGATATATCTATTTAAGCAGCATGTTTTAGATTTAGCTTCTAAAGAGAACAAATTTATAATTGCAGTAAAAATTTCTGAAATACAGAAGCAATAATCTTTCACACATGTAATCTTCCTTCATAAAACCCCCACAACAACAGCCTGGAGCAACTTTCATTGTTAATGGTGATGTACAATAAAAATATGAAGGCATTATTTTCTAATGAAAAGTTAACAGTCGGTATATTCTACTTCTTTACCTGCTGCAGTAGATAAATTCTCCTTGATAAAGGAAGCTGTGAAATGCCTTCCCTAAGAGGAAAATTAAAAATTAATACACATTTCTATTATACATTCTGTTTTCATGTCACTCTTCAGTTAAACAAAAGAAATAACTATAGTATATAAACAGGCATCAACTAAGTATCAACTTTTTAAATGCTTTCAATTTGAGAGAGAGAACTTTCTGGAACAGAATTGGCTAATGACAGGTTGCTATTAATGAGCAGAAATGGCTCTCCTCAGACAGTAGCAGCTCTAAGGAAAGAAAGATAGCACTGATGCTCTTAAGATATCTGAGATGGTGTTTTCCAAGAGATACCTGCAGTCTTCTCATCTTGCATCAGCTAATGGGGTTATCGTCCAGGTTTTTTGAGATTTTTGAAGCATGGGGGTTTTAATCATGAAAGATATTTTTTCTGATGAAAGCAAATCCCCCAAGCAAAGATGAAGTCATACAAGAGCTAGGAGGGTAGAGTTCACCTAATCTGGCTTCAGCCATGCAGAAGCGCTTAGTTCAGCATGCTCACTTACAATCTTCCTTAGAATCAATAAATATGTATAGATGCCACGAGGAGTTAATTCATCCACATTCCTTTGAGTAAGATAAGTACCAATTAAAGGTATGTTGCTTTTCATCAGTGGACTACCTCGGTACTGCCTAGGCAAGCAGCTTGGATGCACATATCAAAATAAACTTACATGAAACAGTTTCCACGCAGAGGGCATAGTGGTAATTACAAATGCAATTATACACAGCTTTTGGGTTGTTGGGGTTTTTTTTAGGAGAAAGAAGGTGGAAATCAGGATCAAGGCCAAATTTGCCTATCTTCAAGTCCCAGATAGCACCTCCTTGGCATGTACTCCATGACAAAGGAAGATTGAAATAGATTATAAGATTACCACCACTCCAACAAATCCACTGTAGGTTTCAATGTACTTTTTAATTTCTTCACTTGATTTCGCACTTTGAAGGAATTCACACCTATTAAAAAAAAAACCCCAAAACATTATTCCTGGAAGCAGTGTTTCAGTTATTAAAAGGTGCATACTCAGGATTTTTCACAATATGCAAGAAAGGCAAACTTTTTGCTGCCGTCAGCATTGTTCATGCAACACAGTGACTAACTGGGAGAATAATCATGTGCTTTTGCCCAATGAAAAAAGCCCATGGGAGATCTCTAGAATGTATGTAAGAGAATATATGTAGAATAATTATAAGGTTAGGGATAGCAGACTTACACTGTTCAGTTCTCAGAAATAAAGATCTGCTGAAATCAATTGTCTGAATGGAACAACCTTGAAAACAAAATTGTGGCGGTTTTTTTTTTGTTTGTTAGTTTTATTTCTAGCATTGTTGCTGAGGAAAAAAAGAGCTATCAAACCAAATCAACCTTTTTGTGCATATAGAAATATTTCTAGGACATTCAGTCAACTTACTCAGGAAACCATTTAGCATGTTCCCTCCAAGGATCATCACCATCTTCCCAATTTCCCAGACATCCACCGCAAGCAAAACACTGCACTGTATCTTTCTTGCCTGCAATTACAGAGTTACAGAGCTCAGAGATAATCACACAGTTGTGCGTTTTACTTGCTCACACTCTAGCCACGTGATCACGAGTATACTAGTGTATATCATTGGTCCAAAATTTGTAGCTAAGTGAGACTTTTTCTTAGATTATAGCAACTGAAACTAAACAGATTTACAAAACTGCTTAGGTTTCCATTTAATTTCAGTTGGGTCAGTCTGGGTCTGAATTTGGTGCAGATCCAAGAGTGAAAATATAACATAGATCTTTCCATCAAAATAAAACTTCAGAAATATCTAAGAATTCATACCAGTTTGATAGAATAAATTTGTACTTTTTGTTGTTTTTTTTTTTTTTAATTTTGCATTCTAGCAACTCAGTTTACTTGTAAAGGCTGAGTAAATGAACAATTCTAGAAACCAATGGAATAAGATGGGAGAACTAGAATTTCTATCCCGAAGTTAACATATTGATAGTCAGCATACACATGATGGAAGACAGACAGGTCAGTCAAATGCTGTAATGCTGGTATATAAAATATTCAGGGAAAATTGAGTAAACAGTGCTAGAAGCAAAAGAAATATCTGATCTTAATGATATCTCAGAGCAAAATCAAACTAACCAACACAGACCAAAATTTTTCTACAGACTGGAATTTCAGGCCTCTATTGGAATAACACAGTTCTTGGACCATACTATCAGTCAACCAACCAGGATGACAAAACTGAGTTACGTGATGTTCAAAGAAATGAGAGGCACTGTGAGCAAGAAACAGAATTGCAGCTGGTGGCTCCAGTTATCCCCCAAGTGGACTGCACAGAAACCACCTTGAGATGCAAAGTAGATGACTGTTGTTTTTTTTTTTTTTTTAAACATACTATCGGGCACAATCTTCTGGGGCAGCCGGTGAGCAAGTCTAAAAGCCGATGTGAATTGGTATTGAGAAATCCGCTGGGAAGAGGTCAAATTTTCATAGTGGAAGTGCCACTGTGCAACCATGATCATAATTTACTTAGATGCAACGTCCCCCACAGAAACAGGGAACCTACTAAGGCTGTGTTAAACTTCAGAAACAGGAACTATGTAAAGGTAAGGAAGCTGAAATGGCTGACTAAATAAAACCAAACAACCAAGAAACCCCCCCACATAACCAAAAACCCCCAACAACTCTCTTACAGGCATTTAAGAATTTCCTGAAAGATGTTTTACTGGAAGTGCAACACCAGTATGTGCTATTTATTAGAAAAGGATCATGAAATGTTACAGGAAAGGAGTGTGACTGATAGGAAAAGAAATCAGATTACAAGAATTAAGAAAGTATCGTTCAAAAAGCTGATGATTTTCAGCAAAGAAAACAGAAGGCTCAAAAGCTCTGGCAAATGAAGTGTGAAGAAGAAATCATGCAGGCTGGGAAAAAACCCCAAAAGTCCAAGAGTAACAAGCTAAAGGCATCTAAACCTTCTTCCAGATAGCAGGAACAAAAGGCCAGTGAAGAAAGCTGGAAGAGCCACCTGCTAACCAGGCTGTAAAAGAACCATTCAAAGGGGACAATGCGATTCCAGCAGACTTGAAGTGATATTCTCTACAGTATTTTCACCAATGTTCACTGCAGAAGAATTCAGGGAGATTCCCAGTGGGGCCACACAGCCAAAGGTGCATCCAAAACCAAAGCAATTATGCAATAGATTATGGCTGAGTGGAGAAAACATAATGCCAATCTTTAAAAAGCAGTCTGCACCTTTGGGCAAGCAGAGGAGACATCAGATCTGTAAGCCTGGCATGAATTACAAAAAAATAAGCAGAAAAAAGTATAATTATGCCACTGTACAAACCCACGATTAATCCATATCTTAAACAGTGCATGCGATTGAGGTCCTCTCAACTCAGAAAATTTGTATTAGAACAGGAAAAGGAGCACAGAACAGCAGCAAGGATGAGGGAAAACACCTTCCGCATGAGGAACTGTTGAGTTGCCTGTGTTCTTCAGCCTGGGAAAGAAAGTGTTTATGGGCGATACAATGCATTACAAAAGGATGAGCAGCATGAAAAATCACGTTATACCCATTCAAGTATTGCAAGTAGACTTGCACCCTTTTATAAATCAAAACAGAAATCCCTCCAAGCACTGCTTCCAATTACCTGTAAAGAAAAACCCAGCTCTGGCAAGCAAATCGGGCTTTGTTCCCCTGGCATAGAATGGCCATCCGTCGAAGGACTGCAGCCTCGCGTCCTCTGTGCTGTAGCTGTATTCTGCTGGATTCTTCTCCGCCTTCTTAACGCGTACGTCATACTTAGAAATATTACCCACCTCTTTGCCCAGGACAAAATCGCAAGTGGGAGAAAACTTCTTGTGCTGTTCGTATGGGGTGCATCTAACCTTCGTGGTAAATAAAACCAACCCACAGCAAAAACATTGCACGCTGGACTTAACAAGCGTGTGATAAAACCCAGCAGCTGCCATTTCTGTCAAAGACCATGATGAATGGGACGTATAGGACAAGAAGGACTTCAATCTGTTGCCTTCATTTCTCATGGTAGGGTTGTAACCCCTCTGCAGCTGTCCCCGGATTTCCTGGAATTCTGCCTCCATGCCTTCGGCAAGCTTGTGAAAATCAATGGTTGCGTGCGGGAAAAGAGCTTGCATTCCAGAAGGATTCAGCTCATGTATTTCATTGTCATTCATCTCCACCATAGGGTCCTCGTTGGCAGGCATTTTCTGCAAAACCAAGGAAGACTACCAAATTATATTACCCACACCTTTTACATAACATTTAGTCAGCACCTCTGTTCCCTTAATAACATGGTTTCTACAGGTCATAAACATTTGATTTCACCTTTCTAAGAAGAGATAAGGTAACTCGAGAGTTGATGTAAACAGGCGTACTATAAATCTGAATAGCCAAATTGAGGCGAATTTCAGCCAAAATCCTGAAGCCTTTACAACAAAAAGAGAGGGAAAGAAGAGACAAACAGGTGAGATTTGAGCAAAATGACACCGATCAGTGACAGATCCTGTAGCCTGAAAACCTAGAACAGCCTCGGTAAACCAACATGCCTCTATCACCTCAATTTTTCCACCTCAAAGCCATGACTGCTGCTAGCAAACTGTTAATTTCTCCTTAAATTAGAAAAAAAAAAAAGGTGGTAAAATATACAATGCCAAATGGAAGATGGGAAGTAGAAATGGGAAATAGATGACAAAAAAGAATCAAAGCAAGCAATTGTTCTATTGCAGTATTTTAACTTTTCAATATAGGTAGTGACTAGGAGGAATTGCATGAAGAGGAACTGGGATTTCATCGTCCCAAACTGAAATTCATTTGGCAATGAAATTTATTGCCAAGAGCATACTGTCAACACTTCTAATAGAGTGGTTTTATTAAATGTATTTCCACTAGTCTTCTCAAATATAGCTTATCTCGTAGAAGTAATACTTTTTTGTTGTTATTAGTACTGTGGTAAGACAACCATATTTGGCTATGTGATGGTTCAGAATGCAGCAAAAATGTCTACAGTTCAACTCCATAGAGCTAAATTCTGCTCTCCACCGCCTCCAAAAAGCTTTGCTTTGTTTTTTCAAGTAATTGAGGGATCTTAACAGTTGATTCACAACATTTAACAAAAAAATTAATCCTTAAGAAAGTGATTCTAAATCCAGAAGCTCCAACCTGTTGTTTTTACTCTTTTTCACTGGTCATAAAAATCACATTCACCTCTCACAGGAAAACGTTTGCTAAACAATTTATGTGCTTTCAAATCCCAAGGCAGAAAGTGCTGCAAAAGTCGTAAGGTCTGCAAGTTCTGTTATATTTTTTAAAATTACTTTCATGAATTGCACTATAGGCATTACAGTTATTTTTCCTAAACACAGAAACGTGATTTTCATTCAAATTGGATGACTTCTAAAATAAAATCCATCTACTCTCACTCTTCCAGCCAGAAGTCGGCGCAATCCAGTAACGCCACAGAGTTAGTACTTTATGGCAGTTTTTCATCCATAAGCTACATCACAATCTAGAATTGAAACATCTCCTCATATTGCACGAGAGACCAGGATGCCATGCAAGTTCTTCAGGAGTTGCAGTTGTTATGCCAAACTAATCCCAGACATTTCTTTTACTCATATTTTAATTAATGTATTTTCAGCACTTCAGGTCTTGGAAATTAGATAGGGCCATTAATACAGATGGTAACTTTTATTCCTGCAAGGAAAGTATGAAGTAGACAGTAAAGCAAGGGCACCCACCTTTCCAAAATCCCCTTCACCCCACACGGCAGGATGGTCCTGTTTCACTGTGCTTTTCAGCATCACAGTTCTTGCCACAGTTGTGTCCTCAACCCCATCACCAGATGTTTTTGTCTTTTTGTCTCTTCCCTCAACACTTTATGTCCAAACCGTATTGGGCAACATCTTCAGGAAGTGTAAGACTTTCTCACAGGCCTGACGATAACCTCACTGATTGACTAATTGTGTGGCAGATCCGGTAAATAAGAAAATAGAGGAAGGAGAATTAAGTAGTTTGCAGCTTCCCACAAGCGAAGGAGACCCAAGATCCAGTGAATCACAGTCAACAAATACAGGTGAAGGAAGCATTTCTTCCACGTGGCTTTACATACAAATGCCACAGCTGAAATTCTTTACAGTCAGAGAAAACACTGCCCCCACAGCCGTTTTTCAGGACCTACTTTGAACTGCTCTTCTTTCCCAATGAGAAGAGTGGAAAAGTACAAGCCAAGTTACTACTCAGACCACAAGCAGAGGGCTACAACTTCTACACAGCTTCTGCTTCCAAGTATGTTATTTTGGTATCTAGCAAGAGAAAAAGCTAGAACGCATTTGAAGTGTTTTGACAAAACCTTCTTTTCTATTAGGAAATGCTCATTGTGAAGATGAAAATATTATCAGAAAACATTGCATCACGACACTGTCACCACTATCAGAGTATCTAAGATCCAGATGCTTAGGGCATTTCTGTGGCTTGGAACAGCCTACTGGACTGCACCAAAGCCCATTAATATGTCCTTTTTCTGCTAGTTTTGAGGACACCCTTACAGTAACAGGCACTGCAATCACCTGATAGCACAAAGGGTTTATAGGTATTGTTGGACTTGGCACAAAGTAAACACAGATGCTGAAACAGTCATTTTCCTGCCAACACAGCAGAATTACCGCATTCTAGTCAGCCTGCAGGCGTAAATAGTACAATAAGCACAGGAACTATCTTAACAATTGAAAATGTGCATATTTAAAGGACTTGAAATGAAAACTACTTGTGAAAACTGAGAGGCAGCATGTATTGTTCATTCATGGTGAGCGTGAAAAACAGGGAACTAGCTTCTTTTGCTTGTTTGTCTGCACTTTTAAGACTCAGTGGTGAGGTCAGATTATTGCTGTTCCTCATCTGACAAAGCAGCTCACAATTTTAAAAATTAAGTTAGATACATTAGTGACTAAGTTACCCTCAATGTATTATAAACGTCACAAGATGACTTCAGAAAACCAGATGCTTTAGACACTGCGTGATGTTACATTCTCACAAGTTCACACTTTGTATAGACACTGGAAAGCAGCAAAGTGTTTTGCATTTGTCTCAGTTTCCCTTATTCCATGTTCTGATAAGGACACATGCTTGCTCTTCTCCCCCCACCTTACTGTCTGTTGCTCTGGGGGAGGTCGCCAAGGGAGATGCAGTTGCAGTTCTGGCAATTCATTCTGGCCTGAGAATCAAAAAAGCATCACTATCTTCAATACTGTGCCCATCAAACAACAGTTTGTATAAACTCAGGTCTTACACCTTTGCAAACAAACGCATTGCCTTTCAGTAACCTTATACTCCTACAAGAAAGTGAAACTTGAACCACTGTCTGGTTTGGCCTCAGCCAGCAACAAAGAACCACGCAGCTGCTCACTCCACTTCCACAGCTGCAGGAAAAAATCGACAGGAAAAGGCAAAACTCATGGGTTAAAATAGTGCAATTTAACAGAACAGCAAAAGGGAAGATGAAAACAAAACAGTAACACCAATAAAGGGATATGAAGACGTGATTACAATACCGCTGCGAAGCGCACCGACCAGACCCACACCACCACAGCCCACCCTCAAGAGGCGACTCCTCTCCCCGCCCCGGCTAGCGCCTCTTATAGCCCGGGCGTGGGTCACGTGGGATGGAATACCTGCCCCCTGCCGGCTCCTGGGGGAAATTAGCCCCATCTGGTCCGGAACCAGGACAACCACGCAACTACAGACACAGTAGTAACAGAATTCAGTTAGTTTTGAGTTGTACCATTAAAACCTAAAATGTGTTTTCAGCATATTTCTAAACAGCTGTATTTGAACTGCCTCAATAGCCACAATACTTGAAATTAGCATTTGAAATGTCCCCCAAGTAATTGCTCAAAAACAACTTAGTTAACTTATTACAAAAAATATTTTGACCAACAGAACTTCGTCATCCACCAAAACCAAGAGCTTGTAATAATCAACATATAAAAATATATCTTCATGGCTTCTTTTTTGAACACATAATGAAACAAAGATGAATCACAACATTCTTATATAAACCAGTTTTATCACTGTCACATTTACAAATATACATATTATAAAAACATTCAGAAAAAGCCAGAGCTTTTCAGACGAGAACAAGGACAATAAATCAAATACATATAATTCCAGAATATATTAACAGTAACAAAATCATAAAAACATTAGGTAAAAACTAAAATTTGCTCCCAAGCCAGCATTCACCCTTCTGTAATCATCTAGGTCCTTCTTGTTTTCAGGTGTCTCAGTGAAGGCTATGTCTGACTAAAAAAATAGACTTATGCAAGAATGGCATAGATATGACAACTTCTTAAGAGATGACATCATACAGGTAGGGGACCAGGGTGCTCGTGAATACAGCCAGGACAGCAGTGCAGAGAATCATGAACAAACAAATCGCATTCCATGCAAAATGCATTCTGGCACACTTTACATATGTAAACCTGCGTGGAAAATATAGAAAAACAAGTCAAATTAGGAAAAAATCATCACCATCGTAGCACTACAGTAGGGCAACAGTTGTCTCACCAAGACAGTGTAAATAGACTAAATATATTGCTCACATCACAGAGAAACTTTAATTCAGTTGGGTTTAACAGAAAGTATGTCCCAAGGGATGAACCTGAGTCACTGCAGGTCCTTCCATGTGGCTAAGAGTGGAAGCTTATTTATGCGACTCTCCAGAAAATCCCTTCCCACGCTTCTGTGGACTTTGCAGTCTAAAACGCATGACTCTCCAACAGAGAATTCTACTTTACCATGAGATAAACTTCCAAAAATATTTTTCTGGTCTTTAGAAGACTATACTAAAGGATCATCTCAACTTCTGACACCCCTCAATGCAAATTTCAGTGCAGTTCAACATACTTACATTTTGATCTTTCATTTCTCCCTGGCAGCCTTGACAATACCTAAAAGCAAAATTAGGTATTTTAATCGAAAAAAAGTCAAGATTGTCTAAAATGGTGTTTAAAAAAATAACATACATAGCAACAATTTATGGCAATTATTTCAGCTATTCAACTGAACACACAGGTAACTGTTAATGGCAACTACTAATATTTCGTATTGACAGGTGTGGCCAAAACCACCCAAACATTGAACAACAGCAAAGAAGCTGATGCCAGCTATTCTTACATTTGTTACCAAAAAGTTACAGGGTCTGCAAGTACACTCATTAACACAAATACGATTTGCATACCGTTCCCCGTGATATTCTTCCATGGGAACTTCCTGAAAGGCATCCAGAGGAAACAAGTGATGGTAAGACCGAGCCAGGTGAGGTGCAGACACTAATGTAAGACCTGTAAATAAAGAGACATCAAAATTATTACCAGAGAGGACTTACTGAAAATCGTTTCTACATTAAACAAAGCAAAAAAAAAAAAAAATGTTTTTTTAATTACTCAGTGGTTCAGAGCTTTTAAGAATTAAAAACCATAAAATTATTTGTTCGTTAGCTTCTATAATACAAACCTGTAATCCTTTCCAGAATTAAATCTAAAGAACAATCCAATTGCCCAAATTTCTAATTAAAAGGTTTAACTCATTCTTTAGAAGTACATTTACAATGCACAGTTGTAAAGCTGGCAAGTTTTTCATCCTCATGCCATTAAAAAACCGCAGTCCTAACAGTCTTCTGGTTAAATCTAAATGCACAACTCCTCTTTCGTGACGATGGTTCTGCTGTTTCACACCTCCAGTTAAAATGGTGCCCAACTACAAAGCTCTACTGCAACCTGTTACAATACTGCTGAAGCCACCCCATAGCCATGTTTCTGCTAAGACAGGTATACTGGTTTTGGCTGGGATAGAGTTAATCTTCTTCATAGCAGCTTATACAGGGCGACGTTTTGGATTTGTGCTGGAAACAGTGTTGATAATACAGGGATGGTTGTGTTATTGCTGAGCAGCGTTCATACAGTGTTAAGGCCACTGCTGTTTCTCACACCGCCCCACCAGCGAGTAGGCTGGGGGTGTACAATGACCTGGGAGGGGAACACAGCCAGGACAGCTGACCCCAACTGAACAAAGGGATATTCCATACCAGAGGATGTTGTGTTCTGTAATAAAAGCTGGGGGAAGAAGGTGGAAGGGGAAAGACACTCAGAGTTATGGCACATGTCTTCTCAAGTAACCGCTAGGCATGATGGAGCCCGGCTTTCCTGAAGATGGCTGCCGATGGGAAGTAGCAAATGAATTCCTTGTTTTGCTTTGCTTGTGCGTGCGGCTTTTGCTTTACCTATTAAACTGTCTTTATCTCAACCTACGAGTTTTCCCTCTTTTATCCTTCTGATTCTCTTCCCCCATCCTACCATGAAGGAGCGAGTGAGTGGCTGTGTGGGGCTTAGTTGCCGGCTGGGATTAAACCATGACAAGAGGTTAGTGTTAGCTGTGGCATAGGCTGCCACAAGCTTCTTCATCGCTCACACACATGCTGTGTAAATGTCCAAGCCCTTGTTTTGCTGACAGCTGCAGCTGTGAAGAATCTGTTTCCGACACACAGAATTTCTCCAGTTACACTACTACCTTGCTGAAATGAAACTCATGCTAATATGAAAACTTTGACATGAAACTAGGACAAGGTGACCCAAACCTGGAAATATTTAGTTCATCTTATTGCCAAGTATTTGTACCTTGATAATATCTATCATGTTTTAGTCATATGTCTGTAGAACCTAACAGAAAGACAGCTGCTGCTCACGCAATATTAATACTATAAAAAATGCTAATCCTCCCTCCTGGTCTCATTTTGCTGGGGTGGAACCATTGGTTGCATAGTCCACTAACATTTGCAAGACCAAAGGGCTTCCATTTACAACTTTCATGTGTCACTGTGCAGCCCACCCTTGCGTTCAACTTTGGAACCTTTCATCCACATAGTCCCAGAAGTGAGGGGGTACTTCTGCCCTTTTAGTCCAAACTCTTTATCTTCATGGCCTTGCACTGAGGAGTCTGAAACACTGGTGTGTCTGTTAAATCAGGACTGTTGAGTAAATTATTACCATTCATATATGAATCACCCTTCTCGCCCCCTTTGCTTTAGGGTTTTTAGTTTATAACATTATACAAGGGAATATGATACAGTTTTATTGTTACAGGTGTAGTCCTGAAAGTCTCTTGTACGAAGCTGAAATCCCAGGACACATGAATGCAAGCTTCTTAAAGCAGAGCTGGCTTTTAATTCCAAAGTGCAGTTGAATTTTTCTATCCCTTAACTTCTTACCACTACCTCATAATTCATCTGCTCACCTTTTCTTGCTACTCACCACAGATTTTGCATTCCACAGGAAGTTCACAGTATTTGGCTCTGCACTGGGGACAGAAATATCCGCCCAGTGTAAGACCCGGCTCGCTGTTATTTTCCAATTGCCTACAGTAGAGAGGGACAACTTAACACCTAAGAGATAATACCACAATACTACCTAACTATAAATACCACATAGTTCTCACAACAAATAGTTTAAAAAGTTTCAGCAACTTCCATGCAACAGTTCCATGTGTATGGAAGTGTCAGAAAGCAATCCATAGGGTGAGGTATCACTAACCACAGAAAGAGAACAAAGACCAAATTTTACAACATAAAGGAGCCAATATATCTTTAAAAAATAAAGTTAAAGTTATGAAAGATAACAGCATTAGTATTTCTACTTACATACACACAAATACTCTGTAT